AAGTAGGTCATCGTCCAAAGGTTTGGGCAAGCGTTGAAGTCTTTGTACCAAGATTCCATGATGTTGCAGTGTCTGACAGATGTGATGAATGGTTTTGAAAACCGACAAGTTGAAGAATTGAGACACTTACGCAACACATGGGAATCTTTATTGAAGAAACGTTTCGCCACACAGTGGCTTCATCAGTCCAATACAAAGTAGAAATGGGTAAGGAGAGTAGAAGTATGAGGTAATCAGTTCCTCAACCTGGATTCGATGTGTTCAGTCCATCACTCTTGTAGTAAGTGCAGCATAGGGCCAGAGAGGTGGCTTATATACTGCGGTGAGATGAGTTGAAGCAGGAGGAGGCGGGATCTTAGTGGGACCTGCCACTAATGTAAGTAGGTCATCGTCCAAAGGTTTGGGCAAGCGTTGAAGTCTTTGTACCAAGATTCCATGATGTTTCTTCAATAAAGATTCCCATGTGTTGCATAAGTGTCTCAATTCTTCAACTTGTCGGTTTTCAAAACCATTCATCACAGTGTGTTCTTACAGGATATGACATTCCAGCAAGACTGGAGTCTTCTAACACATATTTCCCTGGATGCAACCCCACAACTGTCCGCTAACACAATGGTATCTAGTTTTACCCCTAGATAAGCAGGGTGAACATATGCAAAAGGAAACCTACCCATATGTTTCTCCGTGCCAGTGAATTGAATTAGTAGCAACATTAAATCACACAGTATGAAAATGTGGCATTCGTATTTTAAGGGAGGATAGGTCCTATTCCTTGGATAAAGAGCCCCTAATTGGCATCGGGCATCAAGACAATAACATGACACTATGCCTATACTAATGGGTCACTAATTTATGCCTATACCAATTATGTTCTTATCTGAGTCTCCCTGGAGAGTATACCTGCAGAGGGTTTCGGTGGTCAACACCCCCACGGCACGGTCCGTGAACTTGTATAAATGTAGCCTATGTATAAATGTATAATAATATTTGTAAAGTTTATCCTCCACCATCTAAGGATGACGTTCCAGGTGGGACGGTACCTAGTATTTCCAGACATAATTACTAAACTGTTCTAATAATGCTTTCTCGTTTATTACGGCGCTGTGTTCATTACATCATTTGTATTTCTAGTGGTGAGAGGCCGGGTCCCAATGCTCTAAGCGACCCCAAAAATCTTACAACTATTTATTACGTTACCTGCCTCCCGGACAGCTCGATACATATACCTAGCTGTAACAGGCTTACTCGCTTATTATGATCACCTCCTTCCTCGCTATCATGATCTCCCTCTACCCCCTCCCAAGTCTCTCAACCCATGGCTGCCAACACCCCCTTCCCCACTCCACTCCCTAACCCACAGTGCTCAAGATAGCTATGACGTATCGGGGGAATGAGGGCCACATGACCACAATACTATAGCCGTGATAACCGCTGTGACCACGCCCCCAAATGACCTCTTATCTACACAATCAGCTGTGTGTGCGCGAGGGATGAGACAAGAGCGAGCAATGTGCCTTGCCATACGGCCGGCAAGGTGGCCGACGTCATACTGAGTAAAAATAGCCATGATGTCACCACGGTCGCTGCCGATGCCGCCAGCTGCAACACCAGCTCTGCGCACCTCCAGCTCTCACTATCTTTCTCTACTCTCTCCCTCTTTACAGGTAATTACACACCCAGACTCAACCCCAGCAACTACTGTACAACCATGAGCGTGCAACTGAGTACACACAAACGCGGGTGTTACACAAAGGCACGGGCTCACATCTTTATTTCTCAAGTTTATCATGGAAGATATACATGCAATGTATACAGGCTCGGTTGCAGTAATTTGCATATCATTGGCTCCGTCACTTCTAATTCAGTACATGCGATTCTCGGCTGATGTAATTATCTCTGTCTCTAGGTTTAGATTATCGTATATACAACTACTGTATTTGGGTCATAAAAACTAACAAAATCTTTAAGATTTAACTACGAACTTTATGTTTTCATGATCATACCCAAAAGCCATTTTATTCGCTTCACATTTCACACTCCGTGTACTCTAGATTTTGTCCATTAACAATTAATGGCTGATAATCTGAATTTTATACCTGAGTAATTAAATACTCATTATGAAGATAAGATAAGATAAGATAAGATTTCGTTCGGATTTTTAACCCCGGAGGGTTAGCCACCCAGGATAACCCAAGAAAGTCAGTGCGTCATCGAGGACTGTCTAACTTATTTCCATTGGGGTCCTTAATCTTGTCCCCCAGGATGCGACCCACACCAGTCGACTAACACCCAGGTACCTATTTGCTGCTAGGTGAACAGGACAACAGGTGTAAGGAAACGTCGAAATGTTTCCACCCGCCGGGAATCGAACCCAGGCCCTCCGTGTGTGAAGCGGGAGCTTTAGCCACCAGGCCATGCACAAGAAAGAATACATCCATCTACTTTCGATTCGCAGCTACACTCGGGAAGTTTAAGAATTCTTGCTGTATGGCCCGTGTATGTTTAGCGCTTCTTTATTATTATAATAATTAAGATTTCCTACTCATCAAATTTTATTTCTGTTCAGGCTGAGATAATCACATTTTAAACGCTAAAAAAGTCAAATCTTTGACATTCACTACGGGTATTTTAGCAAGTGGAACAAAAACAAAACTTTAAAAAGAAATAGAGTTACTGAACTGTTTAGGATGAAATATCTATTAAATTTCTGGCACTTCAATTTGCTCACACAGGCAGTGAATATTTTCAAAACACAACACACTCCAAAACATGTGGGGGTATTATCTTCCTTCTTTATTGCCAAACCCCTCAAGGAAGGTTCCTTGATGTTGGTGAGGGGCTCTTGATTTAGTGAATTGGATCTGTACTCCAGTTCCCCGAATTAAGCCTGAATGCCTTCCACATCCCCCCCAGGCGCTGTATAATCCTCCGGGTTTAGCGCTTCCCCTTGATTATAATAATTGTGGAAAATACTGTACGTATATATATTTTCCAGAAATACAGTAGTTATATGTAAATAGATGGCCATACTGTATTTAATAAAATTTGTTATAAAAAATGGGAAATTCTGCGCCTGCGCAGAGGGGACTCGCCATGTTTGAATTGAGTCACCAGAAACGTTAGTGAATAATGGGAAGAATTTTCGTGCTCTAGAGGTTAAAATTGGGCTGACACTTCTCAAATAGGAGCCGAAATTGTTGGATGTGCATTCCTGCATAGCTTGAGATATCAGACGACTGGATAAGACAGCTCCAGGAACCTCAGACAAGTCTTATGTTGTAACTCTGGCCAGTGTTATTTTCATAGATAGTGAGGTTTTCTGAGTATGATACACCTTAATCTCCAGTCAAATTGGCGAGTGATATTAAGATATATTCTCCTGTTATATAAATGTGTGTATATATAAATATTAATTTTAATATACAGTCCACAAATTTATATACTTACCAGAATTCCTGGTGTACATTTCATTTGTAATTAATAGGTCTAGAGCAACTTGTGGATATGACAGTTGTAGGTATCGAAGGGGGACATTGTTTGCGACCTAGGTGTCCCAAATTCCTACTTGTCTATGTAACTTTGATAAATAATAATTATCTTTGTTATCATTTACTGTTATGTACATAATGAGTTACATTCAGATAAATGCAATTTTCCACAATAATAATTTATTGCCAACGTGCAAGCTTTATAATACACAGTATTATTAACAATAACGAAAAACACTTAAACTGTGAATCGATATACACAAAATTAAGCTTATTGCCATTTGTTATTACCATGTTTCTTAAAACTTTACATAATTTCCTAATATATGACCAAGACAAGATCTTGAGTCATACAAGGTATTTTATTTAAAAAGAAACTATCCATTGGTGGAAACAGCTCCAGAAATGCGTTTTTGTTACATTAGTACATAGTTTTCACTTGTACGTATTTTATAATAATGACACTATGCATTTTTCTTAAGGTAATCTAAAAGATAAGCTCAGATTTACTTAGACTCACTACATACGGTTTTACAGACTATTATAAACTTATAAAATGATTGCACTAAACAATTGTTACTGACATACATTGGTAACAAATTAGTATGTCGTTTTAGCATATGATAACCTCTCAAAAATCGAACGGCACAGTATGACTTATTCTCATTCGTGTCTAAGTGTTTGTTTCTTAATTATACACTATGCATGGTCTTTATATTCGGCCCATAATGACACAACAAAAAAGCAAAACTTAAAATTACAGACAAAGGAACTTTTTTGTATAACTTTAACAATGCTACAATATCGACTCCCACTTCTACATTATGCTATTACAAAAAAATCACGTCCCTATCTTTCTGTAGCTGTATTCACTAGGTAAAAATATTTCAGTTTTAATCTTAATTAATTTTTTCTCTAGTATTACTGACGTCGACATGCACAGGCTACGTCCTTAGTAAGTTTATTCAGGTATACACAAATACAGTTACATAGATTATTATATATAGCAGCATACGTGTACAAATAGTTACATAGATTATCATACATAGCAGCATATGTGTAAAGAACCTAGAATAACCCAAAAAAGTCAAGTGACTTATTTCCATTAATGTAAGTTAACAACCTTGATTTCTAGATTTGCTACTCAATCTTCATACAGTCCCACAAAATGCAACTTTACAAATGTTACATCTCTAGAAATGACACAATTAGTTAGTTTAATATCTTCATTATACACCCCATACCCATCCTGCGGGCGGTAGTCAAAAGATTACAGAGGTACATAATGGGTCCAGAGACTGGACCCCAATGATAGCTGAACTAATTACAAAGGTAATGGCACGATTATAATTACCTTAGAGATGTCGCTGCCAGAGTAACCCTTCCTTACTTACTTCATGGTGAAAGTACAATCTACGGAGCAAGCACTCCTGGACCCACAACCAGCAGCAGTCTGGTAGTGAAGGAAATGCAATGTCCCCATACAGGATACGCACAACTATGCCGACTCACCTTCTCAGAACATCACCTGAGTGACGGCAGGCACACACCCACTCAAAACTAACTCGGTAAATGGCTCAGAATGAGAAAAATTGGTCGAGCGGCTTCCCTCAACGCTCGACCTGATGGGCAATTCCCGCAGCACCAACTACTACTTCACCCGACCTTATGCCGAAATCACTCACAAAATTCATTGACAATTTCACGTGAAAAATATCGAATACTTTTCGGGAGGATTATTATCAAGTTGCTCGTCACTTGGTAATGGTCCAGGACGGGCCGAAACGTTGTCAAGATTTCCCCTCTTGAAAATATTGGTTAATAGCTAGTTGTTTTAGCTACGCTACTGAAAATTTCATTATTTGTTGAAATAACTTCCTCTTCACAGCTAAAACTAACAATCAATTCTATTTCGCCTCACTCGTGGATCAAATATGTCATTGTTTTAATTCTATAAGTATATTTAATTACAATTAATGGAAATAAGTCACTCTGTCTGACTTTTTTGGGTTATCCCAGGTTCTCTACACATATGCTGCTATGTATGATAATTCTATGTAACTGTATTGTGTATACCTGAATAAATTTACTTACTTACTTACTTACTTACATAGTTACTGGATAAATATACCATACAAAGTAACCAGTAACTAACAAACGCATAAAGAAGATGCATATGCACCACATGAGAAACGTGCTAAGGAGACGTTTCGTGCACTAGGAGCTTCAAATACCTTTTGTAATATATATTGGATAATAGTAAAATAATGGGGGTAGAGTATCGGGTGGATTTAGTAGGATGATGTAAACAAACACAGCAAGCTAGACACTATCACTGGTCGACGACGCTCCAGGGAACAGTAGTGGATTTTGTTCTCGTTATCAACCTGAAGGGTTATTATTATTGTTATTTTAGCCATACCTAAGCGCTAAACCCATAAGGCTCATGTAGCACCCGAAGGGTTAGTAACCCAGGAAAACCCAGTATAATGATGTCAGCTGGGACTGACCCCCTCAATTGAAATAAGTCGCTTTGTTTTGACTTTTATTTTTTGGGGGGTTATCCTAGGTAATCTACATATATGCTGCTATGTATGATAATTTATGTAACTGCGTTTGTGTGTACTTGCACCTGAATAAACTTACTTGCTCACTTACTAATCGTTTAATCCTCTCATCCAGGATGTGGCAAACACCCAGGCTAGATAAGATAAGATTTTGTTCGGGTTTTTAACCCCGGAGGGTTAGCCACCCAGGAAAAGCAGTGCGTTATCAAGGGACTGTCTGTCTTATTTCCACTGGGGTCCTCAATCTTGTGCCCCACCAGTCGACTAGCACCCAAGTACTTGTTTGGTGAATAGGACAACAGGTGTAAGGAAACATTTCGAATGTTTCCACCCCTGCTGGGAATCGAGCCCTGACTCAGCATTTGAAACAAGAGCTTTACCAGCCAGGCTATGGAGCCCTTGGTAAATGGGGGGGGGGGTAGCAGGTGTAAGGAAACATGCCCATAGTTTCAGCAGGTATACGGAAACATTATGTCCTACAATCTGTATTGATAAAGCCACTGGATGGCGAAATGTCAGCAATAAAGATACCCATATGTTGCACATGTTTAAATTTTCATCTTGTTGCTTTGTGTGAGAGTTGTGGAGGCTGCCAACCAAACCTCATTTTGTGCATTTATCTGGAGAAGAAACCTCTAAGAAAACTAGATCCCCTCAAGGGAGGTATTCTTTGATACCTGTGAAGAGTTCTTGATCCAAGAAACTGGACCTGCTGTATCCTTCCTTGGGTCGAACTTGAATGCCTCCCCATCTCCAAGGTGCTATATAATGCCTATTATTAGCACTCCATGAGTGAATAATAATAATAATTGAATGACTTGGAGGGTGTATAAATCTGTAGTGGAGGGGAAGAGGGGTACAGGTCGTCCTAGGAAAGGATGGAAGGATGGGGATAAAAGAGGTTTTGTGTGCAAGGGGCCTGGACATGCAACAGGCATGTGTGAGCATGTTAGATAGGAGTGAATGTAAATGAATGTTTTTTCTGACCTGACGAGCTGTTGGAGTGTGAGCAGGGTAATATTTTGTGAAGGGATTCAGGGAAGCTGGTTAGCCAGACTTGAGGCCCGGAGGTGGGAAGTACAATGCATGCACTTTAAAGGAAGGGCTTGGGATATTCGCTGTTTGGAGTGACATCTAAACTGTCATATCTGGGAACCTCTGCAAAGAAAGTGATTATGTGCGAGTGATGGTGAAAGTGTTTCTTTCTTTTTTGGGTCAACACCCTACTTCAGTGGGAGATGGCAGGAGTGTTGGGAAAAAAAAAAAATAATAATTGAGCAAACTGCAAGTACTGAAAAGAGGCAAACGTAATTTTCAGTCATTTTGTATATCATCAGGACTACAGATGCCAAAGACCCTGACAGCTGAAGTAACTTAAGAAAAAAGACCTTTTTTTTGAAAGAAATAATTTGCTGAAACATTTTTATGTTCCAAAATGCGCTTGCTCTGAAGCTCTCTAGAGTGTTTAGCGCTTGGATTTGATTATGATAATAAGAGCCATTCTGAAACTTCTGTATTTTTTCAATATTCTGTATGATTCCTGTGAGTTTAGTGTTTAGTTTTAATCAACTGATTGATTGATTTCTTCAGTATTATCATCAGTACACCATTTAATTTAAATAGTTTTAAAAATATTCGTGTGCATATATACAGGGATGGTTTGGGAAGAAAATATTCAGCTTTAGAAAGAAAGTTCTTTTCCTTGAATTACATCATGTATAAAGGTATACATTTATTCTCTTCTCTAAGGCTGTAGGTCCCAGTCTGATCTGAAGATGGTGGTATAAACCTTGGTAATTGATACAAACAAGTGATTTACAAAGACACATGAACGAACACTAGGACATTAGAAAACGTTTTGGTTTTGGACTCTTGATCACTTCTAATGTTGTTTAATAAATTTGTTGTTAAACCACTAGAAGTTGTATTTCCCTATAAATGTATACCAGCATAAATTTTATCATATTGGCAAAGAGTTTAATAATAATAAGTTTTCTCAGTTTTGAACTTAATGTATAGCATAATGAAATATGTGATGTCATATTATGTTTTCTAGATTCTTCATGAACATCAATGATGGAGCACTCCTGTATCAGGAGAGAAAGGGATCTTCTGCACGACAGATGACTTACATGTACCATGAGAGCACCAGGGCATTCATCCCAGTTAATGTTGACATGAAAGGGTTAGAAACTTATTCCAGATGTAATTTAAAAACTTGTTATTCATATAAATTATATTCCTTACATTTATAATGACAGTCTATATGATCCATATGTGTTTAGTGCTGTTTTTAATATACACTAATAATAATGTAATTACAGTGCTGCACATATGGTATTGCTGGCACTGTGTATTTGTATTATGCTTTTCTCTTCCGTCCTCCAGAAGCAATACAACAACCTTGAAAGATTGTGTTCGTGGATGGTTACAGGATGTGTTTCTTCCCCAGGGGTACCCAGAATCTGTCTCTCCTGACTATCTTCATTACCAGATGTGGGACACAGCACAGGTAATATATGAGACTGATAAAATATTTTATATGTAAAACTCTCCATTATGGTACTTGTACAGTATATTTTACATTATTATTATTTGTAAGAATACTGTATACATAAAGTATTATTCAGCTAATTTTTTCTGTCAGTTTTATTGCAGTACTTCATATTAAGATTAAGGACACTGGAGTCAGAGTACACCTGTGGATTCCATCTCACATTGGCCTTCAGATGCATAATACAACTGATGAATTGGCAAAGTCATATTCCTTCAAAGAGGGAGTAGATTACAATCTTGGGCTGTCACTTAGCAGTTTGAGAACAATAATGTTAAAAGAACTTCAACTGAACTTTGTTGACCTACAACTGAAGGTGATTGACATCATTCACTCCACCAATCATAACTGTCATGCAAAAGGAGCCACATGTCTATGGTGCATCCAACAAAATAAGCAGATTCATGGATGTTATTGCTACCCAGCTCCAGCTGGGGGTTAATAGTGTCTCTGGGAAGTTAAATCACCACTTCCAGATGAAGTAGACTGAACTAAATGTAAACTTTGCCAGATGGACAGTTGTCACACCTCGCGTCATTGTTCTGGAATGCTATAAAATTAATAAATTCAGAGGCAACTTGCTCAGAAATGTCAAAGTATTTTATCCATTGTGGCATATTACCAACCACTCTTGAAAAATACACTGGCTTTGCCCACTGTAAATAATGCATATCCACTTATTTTTTTTTTTTACAAGCATACCTTATAAAATATAAGATATTATTTTTGTGAACTAATTCATATCTGCATAAATAACTCATTACAATTGTAACCAGGTATGAACATGTAAATAGTTCATTATCACTGTAATTTATTTAACTTTCAAATCTTTGCTGCCCAGTCCCTGGACCCATTATGTATCTGTAATCTTTTGACTAATGCCCACAGGATGGGTATTGGGTGCATAAAAAAGATGTTAAACTAAAACTAACAGTATGTAAGAAAAAGAATAGAGGCACAAAAAAAAAAAAATGGGATTTTTATGACATATGATTATGCTTGTCCTTTAGTTAGACTGTTGGTCAGCCTGACTTGTTTCCTTCATCTGTGCTCTTCAAACCTGCTATTCCATTTTTTTTTTTATTATTATTATTATCACACTGGCCGATTCCCACCAAGGCAGGGTGGCCCAAAAAAGAAAAACTTTCACCATCATTCACTCCATCACTGTCTTGCCAGAAGGTTACTTTACACTACAGTTTTTAAACTGCAACATTAACACCCCTCCTTCAGAGTGCAGGCACTGTACTTCCCATCTCCAGGACTCAAGTCCGGCCTGCCGGTTTCCCTGAATCCCTTCATAAATGTTACTTTGCTCACACTCCAACAGCACGTCAAATATTAAAAACCATTTGTCTCCATTCACTCCTATCAAACACGCTCATGCATGCCTGCTGGAAGTCCAAGCCCCTCGCACACAAAACCTCCTTTACCCCCTCCCTCCAACCTTTCCTAGGCCGACCCCTACCCCGCCTTCCTTCCACTACAGACTGATACACTCTTGAAGTCATTCTGTTTCGCTCCATTCTCTCTACATGTCCGAACCACCTCAACAACCCTTCCTCAGCCCTCTGGACAACAGTTTTGGTAATCCCGCACCTCCTCCTAACTTCCAAACTACGAATTCTCTGCATTATATTCACACCACACATTGCCCTCAGACATGACATCTCCACTGCCTCCAGCCTTCTCCTCGCTGCAACATTCATCACCCACGCTTCACACCCATATAAGAGCGTTGGTAAAACTATACTCTCATACATTTCCCTCTTTGCCTCCAAGGACAAAGTTCTTTGTCTCCACAGACTCCTAAGTGCACCACTCACTCTTTTTCCCTCATCAATTCTATGATTCACCTCATCTTTCATAGACCCATCCGCTGACACGTCCACTCCCAAATATCTGAATACGTTCACCTCCTCCATACTCTCTCCCTCCAATCTGATATCCAATCTTTCATCACCTAATCTTTTTGTTATCCTCATAACCTTACTCTTTCCTGTATTCACCTTTAATTTTCTTCTTTTGCACACCCTACCAAATTCATCCACCAATCTCCGCAACTTCTCTTCAGAATCTCCCAAGAGCACAGTGTCATCAGCAAAGAGCAGCTGTGACAACTCCCACTTTGTGTGTGATTCTTTATCTTTTAACTCCACGCCTCTTGCCAAGACCCTCGCATTTACTTTCTCTACAACCCCATCTATAAATATATTAAACAACCACGGTGACATCACACATCCTTGTCTAAGGCCTACTTTTACTGGGAAAAAATTTCCCTCTTTCCTACATACTCTAACTTGAGCCTCACTATCCTCGTAAAAACTCTTCACTGCTTTCAGTAACCTACCTCCTACACCATACACTTGCAACATCTGCCACATTGCCCCCCTATCCACCCTGTCATATGCCTTTTCCAAATCCATAAATGCCACAAAGACCTCTTAAGCCTTATCTAAATACTGTTCACTTATATGTTTCACTGTAAACACCTGGTCCACACACCCCCTACCTTTCCTTTCCATTTTTTTATTTCTTTTTACTTTCCGGCTATCCCACGGTCCAAAGGAATAAACAAGTTTCTCCTTTTACATTTTATACTAAACTAGGGGAAAAAGCCCTTCTCCAGGCATTTGTCTCTTAACACTCTTGAATTTCTTTCACTTCCCTGTTGGGAAATAACATGAATAAGAACAGCAAATATGAGCCAGAGGTGTGTCATTAAGTCTTGTACCACTGTTGTGTTAGGTGTGTGGGAAGAGAGCGCCTACATCCCGTTCATGAGCAGCACACATCCTCCATATGTAAACATTACAGGGCCTCTATTCTTTTACACTACTGGAAAGGTAGTATTGGGCGGTTGTGTTATTCTATAATCTTTAATTATTGTTGGTTCCTACTTTCAGTACATAAAAAGTATTATTATGCACTCTGTTTAGCCTTAAAGTTAGATAAAATAAATTATGAAAATTATGTAATTACATTTTTTAATTTTACTTACTTGCTTTATATACATTTGTTTGATCATAGGGCATACTGCAGACAGTCATTGAATATATTTCAGGTCCTACAGTTTAGGGTGGGAAGGAGCAGCCAACCTAGCGCAACTCTATGCTTTGAAGGATGGGACTGCTGGTGGCACTCTATTGATTGCTTCTGGACAGTCATTGCGGAGTGCTTTCATTATTGTTAATGTTGTTATTTTACAGTTTGCAGTGAAAAGAGTATGTAGACAAGGCTATAAGGCACACCGTCCTGGTGTATAGGGATATAATGGTTGGATAAAGATAGATATTTAAATACAACATATAATGACATTAATTTTTAATTTTACTTCATTGTTGTTAAGTATTGTGTGTTGATTTATTAGGGGCATTTACTGTAACATCATTGAAATATATTTCAGGTCACAGTTAGATTGTAACAGCAAGCAATGGCGGCTCTTCGCTGATGTGGCCAATGACTCTGGACACCTCTTGAGGCTTCTTGGACCAGTCTTGCCAGTGCCATTCTTATTTGTGATGTGTATTTCTGCAGTGATGATGGCACTAGTAGGAGTAGCTGGTGGGGCAACGCGAGCATCCCTCACTTTACACCAGGTATGGTGTTGCAAGGGCACTTATGACACGGGCAATGCTGAGATAAAGTGTACTATTGAATTAGCTTGTAATCCTGTTATTATCGGTTGTTATTGTTTTGGTCCTCTGTTGAAAAAATGGCATTAACTTTTAATGAGGTAATTTTCCAATTTCCATGGAAAGCCATGTTAGACACAAGTCTTGCATCTAGGTACCATCCTGGCTCTTTTTTCAACTTTGATGTAATACTCTTTTTATTTTTTGTACATTTCAGATTACAGGTTAAAAGTTATCCTACACCATGTCTATGGTATACTTCCCAAAAGATACACTCTACGACCTAGGTACACCCTAACACCTAGGTACCTATTTAGTGCTAAGTGAATAGATGCAAGAAGATTTACTTATACATCTTGGCCAGCCTGGGATTGATCCTGGGTCCTTCGAGTGTTAGCGGAAGGCACAACCACTGAGTTGTCAGCCACGTAAACTTTCTTCAGTTTAAGCAGTACAGAATTATGTGCTCAATAGAGTACTGTAATTCAAATAATAAAAGCAAGTACTATACCCAGATATTACTACAGCACTCAGAATTACTTACATTGTATTCCATAACTGAATAAGATATTATTCCATTTGTTTGCTCTACTACACATATCAGTCTTATTATTAACTCTAAGAACAAATAGGTTTATGTACAATTAACCTGAATGGAACTTGGCAAATTATGTCTCAGTAAAAATAAGTATAGTTACATTACAACTGTAATGTACATTGCACCAGACTTACTATTTGGGAAGTATAGTACAGGAGGGCCCCACTTTACAGCCCTTCATTTTATGATGTTTCACTTATGCAGCACTTTTCAATTATGCCCATTCTTTATTTATTCAGACTTCCTACTCTATATCCTCGAAAAGGTTGGAGGGAGGGGGTAAAGGAGGTTTTGTGGGCGAGGGGCTTGGACTTCCAGCAAGCGTGCGTGAGCGTGTTAGATAGGAGTGAATGGAGACAAATGATATTTGGGACCTGACGATCTGTTGGAGCGTGAGCAGGGTAATATTTAGTGAAGGGATTCAGGGAAACCAGTAATTTTTTATAGCTGGACTTGAGTCCTGGAAATGGGAAGTACAGTGCCTGCACTCTAAAGGAGGGGTTTGGGATATTAGCAGTTTGGAGGGATATGTTGTGTATCTTTATAGGTATATGCTTCGAAGCTGTTGTGTTCTGAGCACCTCTGCAAAAACAGTGATTATGTGTGAGTGAGGTGAAAGTGTTGAATGATGATGAAAGTTTTTGTTTTTGGGGATTTTTTCTTTTTTGGGTCACCCTGCCTCGGTGGGAGACGGCCGACTTGTTAAAAAAAAAAAAAAAAGCTCTGTTGTTCACTTAATATATGATAGTTTAAACATGTCATCAGGATTTTATATATGCATTTAAAAAGGAAAAAAAAAAGCTATGTTTCACTTTCCAGCAATTTTTGTTTTACAGCAGTAACCTGCTGTATAAACAGGGCCTTCCTGTACTATGCTGTACATGTGATGAGCAAAGAGAAGACAGGGTAATATTGGAAGGTAGAACAGTGGTGATGGTTGTGGTCATCTGTAATCCCACCCATCATAGTGTATTTTATTTCTTATTCTCTTTCCTTAACTCGTACATCTTCCTCTAACTACTGTACCTTCAAGCTTCCTCATTAATGTGCTTTCTTCATTTTGTCCTGTCTCTCATCCTTTCTCCTTCACTTACTTACCTTTTGATTTGTCTTGTATATTTGATTGAGTGAATAAGTACTTCTAGAAGTACAGCTAGTAAATAAGTAATGATTAGTGTTTTTTTGATAGGAATCAGCTGTTGTGATAAAAAGGAAAACAGTCTTAGCTTATTATCATGGTAAAATTTATTTTTTGCCTGTTATCTTAATATCTTACAAATAAATTTTATTTTGAGCATGAATATTGTGTCATCAGGCTCGCCGAGATAACATGGCAGATGTGTCGGCAAAAGATGGCAGTCAGGAGACTTTGGTCAACCTTGCTGCTCTCTTCACTAACCTCACAATTCTTCCTTTCATCACCTCCAGTCTTTTGTGAGTATTATAAATCCCAGCGTCCAAATTCTGCAACAAATGCAACCGACAATTTTAATTTTTATTTTAAAAAAGTTAAAATGAAATTTTCCCATGACATATGGTAATTCATTATAGGAATAGTATTCCTTCTAAAATGTTAATTTCTCATCTTACCACTGTATGATAAGTTTTAGATATGCACTTGTCAGTCGCAAATAATTTTTGAACTTCACGCCATCTAGCTATTTGGGATAAATCACTTGTCCACTTTCATATACAACTGCAAAGAAAATGATAGCCAGGATAAATAGAACCTTTAAATAAGAGCTGCCAATAGGCAGGATAAATAGAGCCTTCAAAATAAGAGCTGCCAAGCCAGTGATAATACTCATAAGGCACTTGTTGTCTCTGAGACTGGATTATTGTTGTACATTAACAATTCCTTTTAATTGAGAGCAAAAATTTCCAATCTGGAGAATGTACAGAGAATTCAAGCAGCCCATATAAATTCAGCAGTGCATTTAAAGTACCAGAAATTCCTCAAATTACAGGTCTTGTAGCAGAGGCAAGAAAGATACACAGTATCATAATTTATTCATGGAAGATGTTGGAGGGATTGGCTCGAAATTATCATGCTAATTTTTTTTTTCAACAAACGGCCATATCCCACCAAGGCAGGATGATCTAAAAAGAAAAACAAAAGTTTCTCTTTTTAAATTTAATAATGTATGCTACAGGAGAAGAGGCTACTGGCCCTTTGCTCATGGCATTTTAGTCACCTCTTATGACATGCATGGCTTAAAGAGGAAGAATTCTGTTCCACTTCCCCATGGATATAAGGAAATAAACAAGAACTAGTAAGAAAATAGAAGAAATCCCAGAGGGGTGTGTGTATATATGTATACAGTGGTACCCTGAGTTTCGTACATAATTCATTCCAGAAGGCTGTTTGAGTGCCGTTACCAAATGAATTTGTTCCCATAAAGAATAATGTAAATTAGATTAGTCCATTTCAGACCCCCAAAAATACACTTAAAAAAGCACTTACAATAATACACTTACATAACTGTTCGAGTTGAGAGCTGTATGAAACTCGGGATACCATTGTATGTATATGCTCGTACATACATGTGTGGCGTGACTTAAGTGCAAGTAAAAGTAGCAAGATGTATACCTGAAATCCTGCATGTTTATGAGGCAGGTTTTCATTTTACACTCACTTTGCAGGATGGTAGTACCTCCCTGGGTGGTTGCTGTCTACCAGCTACTACCTATTATTATTATTATTATAATCAAGGGGAAAGCGCTAAACCCGGAGGATTATACAGCACCTGAGGGGGGATGTGGAAGGCATTCAGGCTTAATTCGGGGAACTGGAGCACAGATCCAATTCCCTAAATCAAGAGCCCCTCACCAACATCAAGGAACCTTCCTTGAGGGGAGCTACTACCTAGAATACTAAAATTACTCCCTATAAAAACAAAAGGAAATGTTAGATGGTGCAAAATCCCTCACTGAAAAGCAGGGGTTCAGTAAGTATACAAAGAGTTAAGTCAGTAAGCATATAGGTTCCAATGCTTTTCAGTACCCTTCCATCCAATGTAAGAGCAATTGCCATTAGAACCCTAACTGCTTTCAAGAGAGAACTTGACAAGTTCTTAAGGAAAATTCCTGATCAGCTGGTCTGTAGTGCTTACATCAAAGTGCATGCAGTGAGCAGCGGTTACTTTACCGATCAGGTCAGCAGGAAGGCCTGGTCAGGGATTGGTACAAAGGGGTGTTCATCCTTGGAACCATCCAAGGTTAACCACAGGTTCCTAACTGGAAAATGAATGCAGATTTGATATTATATACTGAGGAAGTAAATGAGAAGGTGATAAAACCAGATAAAAACAACTGTATTCTGTATACACGTCATTCAAATTTCTAAGGTACAGTATGAATAGATATCATTTAATAGAAAATTCTGTAATTTTTTAAAGACATTTTGGAAATGAAACACTGCAACCATGTTCAGAAGTACCTAATATTACTGTCAAACTGGTAGTGAGCTTATAAAAATTCTTGATGCAGAAAAGCACTGTTTGATACATATGAGATGTGGTGTGACTTCTTGACACACTACCCACCTTGTATTCTAACACTTAGGAAAACCTAATTTGTTTTAGTTTGCATAGGGAAAGGATTACTTAATTGTTCAGAAGCTACTAATAGCATCCAGTTGTAGTACAAGTGCCATAATGAAATCTTTTGGCAGTTTTTAAAAGTACGTACAGTTTTACCCTCATTCTATTGCACAGTATAGTATTGTACTTACAATATCTTAATACTGTTTGTTCAGGTAAAATGCAAACTATTAACTATTTACAGATTGACATGGATTACTTTTCTTATGTGTGTTGTGCTGCATCTTCTGGCCAATTATCAGGCAGTACGAGCAGTCAAGATGGAGAGCCTTAATCGTCCCCGCCTTTTGTACATCCTCGACCAGTGGTTTACTACAGCTAATGTGCCAGGAATTGAAGAGACTAATCTGTCTGAATCTCTCATATTTGGAGCAGCATTTATGCCCAGTTAGTGGAAAATACATTACATATACCTGATAAGCTTTGTGTTGGATTTTTCAGATAGATGATTCCCTGAGATTGAATGAGTGGGGTTTCCATTACATATGCACCACCTGTAAGAATGATAAAAAGCTGTATTCATATTGTGTCTTCTTTGTGGCACCTCCAACATCCTCTTAGGTGTCCACTAGCTCTGAAAAACACTACCTCTCCTCTACAGCCTCCACAAGATGATGTTTGTTTTTATTATAACTCATAAGTATCTTGACATATTATTTGAGATACTCCCTCTTCTGGAGTATTTTTCTAACCATAGACTGCTTACATTCCCTTCCTCAGATCAATCCTGATTATCTCCCATTCCCTAGGAGTCATATGACCCCTATGGGTTTAGCACCTCCCTTGAAACAATAATAATAGTAACAATGGTTTCCTTCTTGGCCCCCAAAAAATGGTTAAAGTATCTTTCATAGTCAGCACATATATCTATATCCTTTGTTGTATTTGTCTACTCCATCTTTAAATTCACTCAAGCTTTTAAAGAAACATGTTCATGTTATACAGCTGTCTTTTGTTTTTCATCATGAGACATTTACACTCATTGAAACTGCTTTGTAGAACCCTTCCACAAAGTGTTTCAGACCATTTATGAGAGAAAGAGAGTCTCAGTTTAAGAGCTATACTCTATGCAATTATCATTTAAGTGTATGTGGGTGATCTCTAGCTCTTAACCAAGCACAGATAAATGCAAGCTGCCCATCTACTTCTTGAATAATTTGTATCTATCATATTAGTTTAATATACAGTAGACCCTTAGTTAAGGGTCTACTGTATATTAGTTAAGGGTCTACTGAAAATGATTTTTAATTAAAAAAAGTCATGCAAACTGAAGAACATATGAAATTTTTTTTTATGTTCTTGGCACCTGTAAAAATGCAAAACATTTTTTTTTCAATTCTTATTTCATCAAAAATAATAACAATTTACAGTGTAGATGATGTTTTGTGTTGATCTAGAAATTTATGTTACATGAACAAATCCTAAATAAAATCTTAGTTACTAGATAAAGGCATGGGGTAAATTGGTTTTTGATGCTGGCATTTGATGCAGTAAACAGCCAATGCCTTCCAGAGAAAATGGGCATGGTGTTCCTGAGAAAACAGTCTCTGGTATAGTAAACTTACAGCCCAAATGAATCTTTACAATACAAAACAATTTTTATTGCTTTATGTGGTACAAATAATATAGTTGACATATAACAAAAGAAAGCCACTGATTATGCATTGCATTCTGGGCAAACTAATTCATTATGCTTAAATGTAATTTAAGGTCTAGACAGACTATTAAGTAGGACTTCTTATGCAGTTAACTACAATTATAAATACAGTAAGAAAGCTAATGAACAAATGTTCAATTACAATAGTACATATTACATATTATTTCAAACTGATTCAATGATCTTCAGTTCTGGGGAGTAACTGAATAAAGATGGTGAAGATACAGCAAGTTATTTAGTTACAATTGAAATAGTACCGTACAGTGGAACAAGATTTGCTACCAATTAAGTAGGGGAGTTGAAGAAAGGCTGGAAGAACAAGGACAGAATTGGATGAAACCTAGTTTCATTTTACATAGCATATTGCTGTCTCAATTACATTTGGGAAAAGAGGTGCTTTTTAATAATACATCTGAATCAATGAGGCTCCAAATACGTAACAGTGGGGTTATAGTACTTAGGCATAATTTTTTTATGAATACTGTGGACCCCTGCCTTATGAACGCATCGCGTTATATTAAATCCGCCATACGAAGCATTTGAACGCAAAAATTTTGCCTTGCCTCACGATAAAAAACTCGCCTTACATGATTCGTCTGGGATGCGTCCCACGTGTGGCCTCAGCTGCCCCGTGGGTGCCAATGTTTACAAGCCAGCCAGTGTGGTCGCATCCACGCATACATTCGGTACATTTCACCTTATCCCAGTGTTTTTTGTGCTTGTAACTGCAAAATAAGTCACCATGGGCCCCAAGAAAGCTTCTAGTGCCAACCCTGTGATAAAAAGGGTGAGAATTAGTATGGAAATTAAGAAAGATTTTGAAGGGTTTGGGGTTAACCCTGAGAAGCCTATGCCAGTTGTGGAATCCATTGTGCCTACTTCAAAGATTAAGGAAATGTGTACAAAGTGGGTTGAAGTACAAATTTTTATGGATGAAAATCACCCAAACACAGCTATTGCAAGCCGTGCTGGTGACTATTACAATGACAATGTTGTGACCCATTTTAGGCAAATCTTGAAGGAATGGGAGGTACAGACCTCTATGGACAGATTTGTTATGAGACAGAGGTCCAGCGACTCTCAAGCTGGTCCTAGTGGGATTAAAAGAAGGGCAGTAACCCCAGAAAAGGACTTGCTACCTCAAGTCCTAATGGAAGGGGGTTCCCCTTCTAAACAATAACTTCCACACTCTTCCCTCCTCCCATCCCATCAATCATCACCAGATCTTCAATAAAGGTAAGTGTCATGTATTCTATTCTTAGTAGAGTAGTAATTGTGCATGTCTTCTTCAGTTCGTGTGTATTAAAATTAATATTTCATGTGGTAAAAAATTTTTTTTTTCATACTTTGGGGTGTCTTGCACGGATTAATTTGATTTCCATTATTTCTTATGGGGAAAATTAATTCAGCTAACGATAGTTTCGGCTTACAATGAGCTCTCAGGAATGAATTAATATCGTAAGGCGGGGTTCCACTGTATACAGTTATTAACGATTCTTAAATTGAATTTATTGAATTTATTGTGTAAAGGTAGAAAGCTGAAAGTGAACATAGAAAAGAGTAAGGTAATGAGGGTATCAAATGATTTAGATAAAGAAAAATTGGATATCAAATTGAGGAGGAAGTGTATGGAAGAAGTGAATGTTTTCAGATATTTGGGAGTTCAAGTGTCAGTGGATGGATTTATGAAGGATGAGGTTAATCATAGAATTGATGAAGGAAAAAAGGTGAGTGGTGCATTGATGTATATGTGGAGACAAAAATGTTATCTATGGAGGCAAAGAAGGGAATGTATGAAAGTATAGTAGTACCAACACTCTTATATGGGTGTGAAGCTTGGGTTGTAAATGCTGCAGTGAGGAGGCAGTTGGAGGCAGTGGAGATGTCCTGTCTAAGGGCAGTTTGGTGTAAATATTATGCAGAAAATTCAGAGTGTGAAAAAAAGGAGAAGGTGGGGAGTTAATAAAAGTATTAGTCAAGAGGGCTGAAGAGGGTTGTTGAGGTGGTTTGGGCATTTAGAGAGAATGGATCAAAGTAGATTGACATGGAGAACGTATAAATCTGTAGGGGAAGGAAGGCGGGGTAGGAGGATTTCCTCGAAAAGGTTGGAGGGAGGGGGAAAAGGGAGGTTTTGTGGGCGAGGGTTTGGGACTTCCAGCAAGCGTGCGTGAGCATGTTAGATAGGAGTGAATGGAGACGAATGGTATTTGGGACCTGACGAGTTGTTGGAGTGGAGCAGGTAATATTTAGTGAAGGGATTCAGGGAAACGGGTTATTTTATATAGCCGGAATTGAGTCCTGGAAATGGGAAGTACAATGCCTGCACTTTAAAGGAGGGGTTTAGGATATGGCATTTTGGAGGGAATGTTGTGTATCTTTATACGTATATACTTCTAAACTGTTGTATCTGAGCACCTCTGCAAAACGTGTTTAAAGTGGAGTGAGGTGAAATGTTGAATAATGATGAAAGTATTTTCTTTTTGGGTCACCCTGCCTCAGGGGGAGACGGCCGACTTGTTAAAAAAAAAAAAAAAAGGGTAATTTTCTATATTGCTTGTATCGTACTGGAAGCAACTAAAAATTTAGCCTTTTATGATGCTCTGAAAAATTGCTGGTTTAGTGCTGAATTTAATTATATTATTTTTGAAGAATTTCTAAAACAATGCAGTACATTGGATTTTCCATTACAGATTATTTTCCTTGTGGCTTCCGTGCAACACTTGGTTGCTCCTTAAACTGGGCTCTGGATACCTGCAAAAAAAATGATGTTAAAGCTGTGTATTCAGCAACAGTGGACACATTTGCTCGAGCTAATTATTTGGTGGGTTAGTGTTTTACATATTATGTTTAGTTAATGAATGATCAATAATTTAGAATTATCATCTTAATTAATATTAAATCTTCATTTTTCAACTGCCCATTGCAATTTGTTTTTATTATAGATAATCATTTTGATTTGTTCAGACTTTATGCATTCTTTTAATATAATTTCCTTTAAAACTACATTTTCCCTATTTCATTAAATATAAGGAAGCAACACCTATTAAGTGTGAAATTGCATGATGGAGGAACTTTTATTCATATATTATTGCAGTGTAGGAATGCTGGATATTTACCTAGCATTTACTGGTAGCATTCAGTTGCCTGTTTTTTAAAGAGGGAAAATTAATGGTCACTGTTACTTGCAGTAAGGCGCAATATTCAAAAACCTTGGGATATACAATAATTTATCGTAAGAGATACAGCACATGCTTTTCCATTTACCTTATTAGCTGTCTCCAACCAAAGCAAGGTAACCCAAAGAAGGAAACCCAAAGAAGGAAACCTTCTCCATTATTCATTCAATTGCTGTCTTGCCAAAATGTGCTGGTATCACAATTCTGATTATCCCAATTTCAGTATCCTCATTCCCTCCTTCAGAGTTCTCAGCACTGCCCATCCCACCTGGCTAACCAGCTTTCCTATATCCTTTCATAAAAATTACCTTACATTTCAATAGTATGGCCAATAAAAATCACTTGTCTTCATTCATTCTTATCTAACATGCTCACACAGCCTGCTGGAAGTTCAAGCACTTAATTAAATAATTATATTACTGTATATCCCCTCAACCTGAGCACATTCCCTTAACCAACCATATCTTTTCTGCAAATGAATGCTAACTTGTAAAGAAATTTTTGTATCTCTATCATCACTGCCAGACAAGCATGGCTACTGGTAAACTCTTATCTGACAATAAGATATAGATACAACAGGCACTGTACAGTATTTTTGTCTTAGATTTGTTCATTTGAATTGGAGAACCTGCATAACTTATACATTGATAATCTTTCTTTCAACACACCAGCGGTATCCCACTGAAGCAGGGTGGCCCAAAAAGAAAAACAAAAGTTTCTCCTTTTAACTTCAGTAATGTATACAGGAGAAGCAGTACTGATAATCATACTGTTTAATTTAATTATGACCATTTTTTGTTTTCAGAGCAGAAAGGTAAATTATTATTATTCACACCGGCTGATTCCCACCAAGGCAGGGGGGCCCGAAAAAGAAAAATTTTCACCATCATTCACTCCATCACTGCTTGCCAGAAGGGTGCTTTACACTACATTTTTTTAAAACTGCAACATTAACACCCCCTTCAGAGTGCAGGCACTGTACTTCCATCTCCAGGACTCAAGTCCGGCCTGCCGTTTTCCCTGAACCCCTTCATAAAATGTTATTTTTGCTCACACTCCAACAGCACGTCAAGTTTTAAAAAAAACCATTGTCTCCATTCACTCCTATCAAACCACGCTCAGGGCATGCCTGCGGAAGCCCCAAGCCCCTCGCACACAAAACCCTCCTTTACCCCCTCCCTCCAACCCTTCCTAGCCGACCCCTACCCCGCCTTCCTTCCACTACAACTGATACACTCTTGAAGTCATTCTGTTTCGCTCCATTCTCTCTACATGTCCGAACCACCTCAACAACCCTTCCTCAGCCCTCGGACAACAGTTTTGGGAATCCCGCACCTCCCCCTAACTTCCAAACTACGAATTCTCTGCATTATATTCACACCACACATTGCCCTCAGACATGACATCTCCACTGCCCCCACCTTCTCCTCCTTGCAACATTCATCACCCACGCTTCACACCCATATAAGAGCGTTGGTAAAACTATACTCTCATACATTCCCCTCTTTGCCTCCAAGGACAAAGTTCTTTGTTTCCACAGACTCCTAAGTGCACCACTTCATCTTTTTCCTCATTTAATTCTATGATTCACCTCATCTTTCATAGACCCTCCGCTGACACGTCCCCCTCCCAAATATCTGAATACGTTCACCTCCTCCATACTCTCCCCTCCAATCTGATTTTTCCAATCTTCATCACCTAATCTTTTTGTTATCCTCAAAACCTTACTCTTTCCTGTATTCACCTTTAATTTTTTTTTTTTTTGCACACCCTACCAAATTTATCCACCAATCTCGCAACTTCTCTTCAGAATCTTCCCAAGACACAGTGTCATCAGCAAAGAGCAGCTGTGACAACTCCCACTTTGTGTGTGATTCTTTATCTTTTAACTCCACGCCTCTTGCCAAAACCCTCGCATTTTCTTCTCTTACAACCCCATCTATAAATATATTTAAACAACCACGTGACATCACCACATCCTTGTCTAAGGCCTACTTTTACTGGGAAAAAATTTCCCTCTTTCCTACATACTCTAACTTGAGCCTCACTATCCTCGTAAAAACCTTCACTGCTTTCAGTAACCTACCTCCTTCACCATACACTTGCAACATCTGCCACATTGCCCCCCTATCCACCTGCTACGCCTTTTCCAATCCTAAAGCACAAAGACCTTTTAGCCTTATCAAATACTGTTCACTTATATGTTTCACTGTAAACACCTGGTCACACACCCCCTAACCTTTGGCCTAAGCCTCCTTGTTCATCTGCTATCCTATGCTCGTCTTATATTAATTCTTTGCAATTATACCTCTACCTACACTTTACAGGTTACACTCAACAGACTTATCCCTTAATTTTTGCACTCTCTTTTATCCCCTTTGCCTTGATACAAAGGACTATGCATGCTCTCTGCCAATCCTAGGTACCTTACCCTCTTCCCATACATTTATTAAATATTGCCCACCAACCACTCCGAAACTATTTATTCCCCACCTGCTTTTTAACATTTCTATCTTTATCCCATAATCCGCTGCCTTACCCCCTTTCATTTTACCTACTGCCTCACGAACTTCCCCCACACTCACAACTGGCTCTTCCCACTCCTACAAGTTGTTATTCCTCCTTGCCTATACACGAAATCACAGCTTCCCTATCTTCATCAACATTACAATTCCTCAAAGATAATTCCTTCCATAGGTTGAATCTAACATTCTTAGGATAGTTGGTTTATTGAGAGTGTTCTTAGTTTTATAGTTCCAACTACCGTGTTCTATACATCTACTCAGGTAAATTAAAAAATTGGGTTATGGTTTTTTACCAAAGGGTCTCTTGCAAATAATTATGATATCTAGAGATTTTTTTAAAAGCATTTTTTTTTTTACTTGCACAAACCCCTGATTCTATGTCATCATTGAGGCTCTTGACTCATATAAATGACTCAAACAACATGCTCATTTGAGAAGAAGCAGGTATAGAAGATACTCAAAAATTAGGGACAAAGGGAATTATGTACAATTGCTATGGATCCATCACCATTGAATTACTACTTCTGATAAAGTTGAGATGTTAGCAAGAAGAGTACCCAGAAGGAGAATGTAGATATACTTTGGTATAACTGTGTCTAAGCATTTAGGCATAATTTAGGAGAGAAGGAAGTAAATATGAAAATGGTTGTTATAGGATTGCAGTTAGAAGCCTGAGTAGATCTATTAACCACTTGATAACATGACACGTAGCTCGTATGTTATGGAGAGCAACTTGCAATGTGAACGATGGACTGATTGTTGTAGTGGCCAGGCTTAGGCTTGGTTACAAGTACTTCTGGCAGTTGGACGACACACAGATGATGATCAAAAACTAAATGTAAAATTATGTGATAGGCTCTATGGTCACTCTCTTGAACACTTATGTGCTTAATTGTCCATCATGAGGAATACAGAGACAGACAGTATAATACCTAAGAGGCCATGTCAAGATATCTTATTATGAAAATAAGGATACCAGATATACTAAGCAATTTTCCTAAATTTGCTTGAAAAACAGATGATGTGAACTATAGATATGTTAGATAGGTTGTAGCTATAGTAGTAGGTGGTAGACAGCAACCACCCAGGGAAGTTTACTACCGATCCTGCAGATGACTGTGAACAAAAAACCTGTAACTGTTTTGCATGCTGGTAGGATTGCTGTTTCTTTTTCTGTCTCATAAACACGCTAAGATAACAGGGATATTTGCTACTCCTACTTACACTTTGGTCACACTTCAAGACACGCACATGCATCTATTATATACATACATCTAGGTTTTTCTCTTTTTTCTAAAATAGCTCGTGTTCTTTTTTTATTTCTTCGATTGTCCATGGGGAAGTGGAAAAGAATTCTTTCCTCCGTAAGGCCAATCGTGTGTTATGAGGCGACTAATGCGGGAGCAATGGGTAGTAACCCTTCTCTGTATACAATTACTAAAAAGAGAAGAAGAAAAAACTTTTATAAAACTGGGTTGTTAAATGTGCGTGGAAGTAGTGCGGATGACAAGAAACAGATGATTGCTGAATTGTTATGATGAAAAAGAAGTTGGATGTCCTGGCCATAAGCGAAACAAAGCTGAAGGGGGTAGGAGAGTTCAGTGGGGGGAAGGAAATAAATGGGATTAATTGGAAGTATTGAGAGAGTTAGAGCAAAGGAAGGGGTAGAGTAGTTAAATGTTAAATGATCAGTTATGGAAGGAGAAAAGAAAAGAGAATATGAAATGTGTAAATTCAAGAAATTATGTGGATTAAAGTAAAGGTTTTGGATGCGAGAAGGGGTCCATAATAAGCGTGTATGCACCCTGGAGAAGAGAGGAATGCAGGAGGATGAGAGAGAGAGTTTGGGAGATGTTAAGGTGAATGTTATAGGAGCATTTGAACCAAGTGAGAGAGGTAATTGTGGTAGGGGACTTGAATGCTTCTAAATAGGAGAAACTTTTAGAGAGGGTGTGTAGGTAAGTTTGGGGTGCCTGGTGTAAAATGATAATGGAGAGCCCTTTGATTTGAAACTTTGTATAGAAGGGGTTTTAAGTTATAGGTAATAATATTTTAAGAAAAAGAGGAAAAAATAAGTTATACACGATATGATGTTAGGGCGAAATGACAGTAGTTTGGTTGGATTATGTATTGGTAGATAAAAGACTTGTTGAGTAGACTTCAGGAATGTACATGTTTATAGAGGGGACACAGATATATCGATCACTATCTAGTTGTAGCTACACTGAGAGTAAAAGGTTAGATGGGATACAAGGGAGAATAGAAGCATCAGGGAAGAGAGAGGTGAAGGTTTTTAAACTAAAAGAGGAGCACGTTAGGGTAAGATATAAAACAGCTATTGGAGGATAGATGGGTAATGAGAGCATAGGCAAATGGGGTCGAAGAGGTATGGGGGTAGGTTTTTTAAAAATTGTAGTGTTAGATATGCCCTCAGCAGAAGTTTGTGGTTACAGGAAAGTGGGTGCAGGAAGGGAAGAGGGAGCGATTGGTGGAATGATGATGTAAAGAGAGTAGTAAGGAGAAAAGTTAGCATTTGGAAGTTTTTACAAAAGTAGCAAGTGTGCATAGGAGGGAAGAGTATATGGAGAAAAAAGAGAGGGAGTTAAGAGAGTGGTGAAGCAATGTAAAAAGAGAGCAAAATGAGAGAGTGGGTGAGATGTTATCAACAAATTTTGTGAAACTAAGAAAAAGTTTTGGAGGAGATTACAAGTACGAAAGCCTAGAGGACAAAGGATGTGTCAGTTAAAAATAGGGAGGGGAGTTATTAAATGGCGAGTTAGAGGTATGGAAGAGGAGTGAATATTTTGAGGAATTGTTAAATGTTGATGAAGATAGGGAAGCTGTTGATTTCGTTGTATAGGGCAAGGGAGGAAATAACATCTTGTAGGAGTGAGGAAGAGCCAGTTGGAGTGTGGGGGAGTTCGTGAGGCAGTAGGTAAAATGATAAGGGGGTAAGGCAGCCGGGATTGATGGGATAAAGATAGAAAAGTTTAAAGCAGGGGGGATATTAGTTTTGGAGTGGTTGGTGCAATTATTTAATAATGTATGAGAGGGTAAGGTACCTAGGGATTGGCAGGGAGAGCATGCATAGTCCTTTGTATAAGGAAAGGGATAAAGAGGTGCAAAACATTATAGGGGGATAAGTCTGTTGAGTGTACCCTGGTAAAGTGTAATGGTAGAGTTATAATGAAAGAATTACGAGTTAAGACGGAGAATAGGATAGCGATGAACAAGGAGGCTTTAGGAAAAGGTAGGGGTGTGTGGACCAGGTGTTTACAGTGAAACATATAAGTGAACAGTATTTGGATAAGGCTCTAAAGAGGTTGTTTGTGGCATTTATGGATTGGAAAAGGCGTTATGCAGGGTGGATAGCGGGGGGGCAAGTGGCAGATGTTGCAGTGTATGTGTAGGAGGTAGGTTACTGAAAGCAGTGAAGAGTTTTATACGAGGATAGTGAGGCTCAAGTTAGAGTATGTAGGAAAGAGGGAAATTTTTTCCAGTAAAGTAGGCTTAGACAAGGATGTGTGATGTCACCGTGGTTTTGTTGAATATATTTATAGATGGGGGTGTAAGAGAAGTAATGCGAGGGTCTTGCAAGGAGGCGTTGGAGTTAAAAGATAAATAATTCACAACAAAGTGGGCGTTGTAACACTGCTCTTTGCTGATGACACGTGCTCTTAGGGAGATTCTGAGAGAAGTTGCAGAGATTGGTGGATGAATTGGTAGGGTGTGCAAAAGAAGGAAATTAAAGGTGAATACAGAAAGAGTAAGGTTATGAGGATAACAAAAAGATTAGGTGATGAAAGATTGAATATCTGATTGGAGGGAGAGATATGGAGAGGAGGTGAACGTATCAGAGATTTGGGAGTGACGTGTCAGCGGGATGGGTCTATGAAAAGATGCGGTGCATCATAGAATTGATGAGGGTCGATGCTGGTGAGCAGGATGGCGAAAAATGAGTGAGTGGGCACTTCGGGAGTCTGTGGAGGACAAGAACTTTGTCCTTGGAGGCAAAAAGAGGGGAATGTATTGCGAGTATAGTTTTACCAACGCTTTAATGGGTGTGAAGCGTGGGTGATGAATTTGCTGCGAGGAGAAGGGCTGGAGGCAGTGGAAGATGTCATGTCTGAGGGCAATGAGGTGGTGTGATTATAATGCAGAGAATTCGTAGTTTGGAAGTTAGGAGGAGGTCGGGATTACCATAAATGTTGTCAGACGGGCTGAGGAAGGGTTGTTGAGGTGGTTCGGACATGTAGAGAGAATGGAAGGCGAAAACAGAATGACTTCAAGAGTGTATCAGTCTGTAGGTGGAAGGTAGGCGGTGGTAGGGGGTCGGCCTAGGAAGGGTTGGGGGAGGGGTAAAGGAGGATTTTGTGTGCGAGGGGCTTGGACCTTCCAGCAGGCTTGCGTGAGCGATATATGTTTGATTGGAGTGAATGGAGACAAGGTTATAATACTTGACGTGCTGTTGGGTGTGAGCAAAGAAACATTTATGAAGGGTTCGGGGAAAACCCGGCAGGCCGGCTGAGTCCGGGGAAAGGGGGAAGACAGTGCCGCACCTGAAGGGGGGGTGTTAATTTGCAGTTTAAAAACTGTAGTGTAAAGCACCCTTCGGAGACAGTGATGGAGTAATAGGGTGAAAGTTTTTCTTTTTCGGGCCCCCCCCTTTTTGGTGGGAATCCCCCTGTGAAAATTAAAAAAAAATCCATATTTTCCTTTAACCCTTTGGGGCCCCTATTTCCCTGGGCCCTTTTTGTGATCCATATGCTCTCGGCTACCGTCCCAGGATGGTATGGGGTGCACAATAAAATACCACTTCGGTGGCAAAACTAAAAACTAAAAATTTGTATTTGAAAAACCCAAACCCCGATTTTGTTTTAAAAGTGCTCTCTGGATTCTTTGTTTCAAATCTTTTTTTCTTCCTGGGCATTCTTTTTTTGAAAAATAAAGAAGGTTAGAGTACTATAAGGAAAATTGGCCTCTAAAAAAAAAGTACAGTGGACCCCCCCGGTTTAAAAGATATTTTTCACTCAGAAGTATGTTCAGGTTGAGTACTGACCGAATTTGTTCCCATAAGAAATATTGTGAAGTAGATTAGTCCATTTCAGACCCCCAAACATACACGTACAAACGCACTTACATAAATACACTTACATAATTGGTCGCATTCGGAGGTAATCGTTATGCGGGGGTCCACTGTATATTAGACAGCAATTAGTGGTACACATTTACACTTCCTAGATATGCTGGGGTCTTTTGAATTATTTTCTCTTGCAAATTTACAGGGAGCACTATAGTTTTTTTTTGTTTAGGAATACAAGGTAGTTTAGCAAACATTTTGAGACTTCCCAATTTGCTGTTATACCTGGGAGAGAGAGATATTTCATATGATACTATGATTCATTTTCATTATACTAAAATTTGATATACTTATTTTGATAATGCAGTTATGTGGAAACTTGAAAGACAAGAGGCTTCACATAATTTACCGACCAGAGATCACAACACAAGAAGAACTTGAAGCTGTTTTCTCAGCATATTTATGTGTCATTAATTACATCCACGTCTCGGAGGTACTTGGTAATAGATGTTTGGTATGGAAATAATGAGGATTTTGTTGTAGCTATTAAATGTTTATTTGTCTGTGCTTGATAAAATGAAATTCAGCCAAATTTATATTACAATATGTAAATTGTACATGCTCTTCTGTAAGAAAGTTAAATTATTTCAGGGTGGCATATTGTCTGCTGAGTATGTTGCTGATGGATTATCATCCAAAATGCCAGACACGGAGTTTATCACAAAAGTTGCACACCATTCACAAAAAATTTTCTCGGCTTTCTTGAACAGTCTTCAAGCAAAAGGTATGTTTAATCCTACATTTACTGTAATAATTAGTAATTAATAACTTACAGTATTTCAGAGGTATTCTGTGATGTGTATTTCACCTCCCTTTGGGATTGTAGTGAGATTACATAAGTAGTTACATGTACAATGAAGTATCAAATAATACTTCTAATTATTGAAGCACAGTATTCTATGGTACTGCTTTGCTTCCTTTTAGGATTGTAATTAGATTACCATATAATATAGGAGACTTTATATATTTGTATATGCTCTACATACAAATGCAGAGCTTTGAATTAATGGGACCATTTCATTATTTTTTCCAGGTTGGCTTGTAAACAAACTACTCTTGGCAGCAGATGAGTGGCGGTTATTGTAAGTTAAGCCAGCATCTATCCTGTGAATCAATTTCATTTGATACATTAGTAGAAAGAATATTGTTTATCTGTTTGAGTAAGCTGTCTATTGATCATTAGGGTAATCACTTCAGCATTAACTAATTGGGCTTTTGGTTGTAAATTGGTACAATATTTGCATCCTGGGAAGTAGTAATTGTAACTTTAGCTACTTGTTGGCCTTTGTTGCACTGGTTTTACCTTATTCCAAAACAGAAAGAAACTAAGATGCCCCTGAATAGTCTAAACTGACATATTACTATTGATATTTTTGAGCTCATTCCTTGTGTCTTATTTCAAAATCCTTGCATGAACATGTGCAAGCATTTTTATTTACATTCCAATAATTTTTTTTATCACGCTGGTCATCTCCCACTGAGGTATGGTGACTCAAAAATAGAAACACCTTCACTATCACTCACTCTGTCGCTGTCTTGCCAAAAGCATGTAGATACTACATTTCAGATGCCCTTCAAAGCTGTAAATATCCTTACCCCTCCTTTAGAGTGCAGGCACTGTGCTTCCCACCTCCAGGACTCAAGTCTGGTTAACTGGTTTCCTCTGAATCCTCCCTCACAAAATGTTACCTTGCTCACACTCCAGTAGCTAGTCAGGTCCCAAAAACCATTTGCCTCCACTCACTCTTGTTTTTAACTTGATAAAAGTTATAAATTACAGAATGGAAGATGGTAAGACATAAACCAATCAACACAAAGTTCTGTAGACTGATAAGATCATGGAAGAAGGTGAAAAGATCAAGACTTAAGGTACCATAATACGGTATAACTGTTGGGTAGGTACTGGTAAGTTTAGGTGCATTCAGTTGTCACAAGGGTAAACAGTCAGAGACAATGGGCAGCCTGTCCTAGCACCATGTGTGAAAAAATGCTAATTTTATAATGCCCTGGGTTCATCAGGATGGAGCTTCAGACATGTAGTGCCTTTTTTTTTTTTAATTTGTTTATTTGTGGCTAGATATAAACTTTCGTAGTTTTTGTAACCTCCTGTAACCCAAAATAAAATTCAGTAGTATATAGATAGACTGACAGTGAGGTACTGTATTCAAGAAGAAAATGTTATATCAGAGGTAGTAATGACTGAAATAAGAATGGGTATGAGAAACATCATCTACAAAGCTAGTGTTCATATTTAATATTAAGATGTCACCAGTCAGTGACTAAGAGAAACTGTGGTAGCCATTTCCTTTACATACATTGATTTAAGAGTCATAAGGGGTATTCAAATACAGTATCAGAAAGGGATATTTACATAAGAACATAAGAAAGGAGGAACACTGCAGCAGGCCTGTTGGCCTGTACTAGGCAGGTCCTTTACAATTCATCCCACTAACAAAACATTTGCCCAACCCAATTTTCAATGCTACCCAAGAAATAAGCTCTTATGTGCAAGTCCCACTCAAATCCAACCCTTCCCACTCATGTACTTTTTTTTTTATTTATTATCACACCGGCCGATTCCCACCAAGGCAGGGTGGCCCGAAAAAGAAAAACTTTCACCATCATTCACTCCATCACTGTCTTGCCAGAAGGGTGCTTTACACTACAGTTTTTAAACTGCAACATTAACACCCCTCCTTCAGAGTGCAGGCACTGTACTTCCCATCTCCAGGACTCAAGTCCGGCCTGCCGGTTTCCCTGAATCCCTTCATAAATGTTACTTTGCTCACACTCCAACAGCACGTCAAGTATTAAAAACCATTTGTCTCCATTCACTCCTATCAAACACGCTCACGCATGCCTGCTGGAAGTCCAAGCCCCTCGCACACAAAACCTCCTTTACCCCCTCCCTCCAACCCTTCCTAGGCCGACCCCTACCCCGCCTTCCTTCCACTACAGACTGATACACTCTTGAAGTCATTCTGTTTCGCTCCATTCTCTCTACATGTCCGAACCACCTCAACAACCCTTCCCAAAGTCCCAGCCTCAATAACCCAACTAGGTAGACTGTTCCACTCATCAACCACCCTATTTCCAAACCAATACTTTCCAATGTCCTTTCTAAAATCTAAACTTATCTAATTTAAATCCATTACTGCGGATTCTCTCTTGGAGAGATATCCTCAAGACCTTATTAATATCCCCTTTATTAACACCTGTCTTCCATTTAACACCTCGTCAGGTCTCCCCTCATTCTTCGTCTAAAAAGGAAATGTAATTTAAAGGTTTCAATCTTTTTTCATAAGGAAGATTTCAAAGCAGTATTAATTTAGTATAAAAAAAAGCTGAATTTTTCTAACGAATTTAGTCCATTCTGTAATTGGAGACCAGAATGAGCTGCATAATCTGGTGGGGGCCTTACAATGATGTAAAAAGCTCGTATGCCTCGGGACTTTTGCTTAATTTCTTGATATAAATCCCAAAAATCATTTGCCTTAACGCCCTTAAAGCATTGCTGTCTTGGTTTAAGGTTGCTTTTCCCAAATAACCCCCAACCCTTTTTTTGCAATCTGATGGCAAAATTTCTACTTTTAAACTTGTAAGTCCCTGGGGTTTAGGGCCCACCCCCCGAGCTTCGAACCTTGCTTTTATCTAATTGAACGGGCAACTGCCATTTTTCTGCCCCAAGAATAGATTTTGCTAAATTTTTCTGAAGTTCCTAAAATCAACGTTGGGAACCCAATTATCCTGCCAAATCTTTGTGCACCAGTGAATTTGCTCATTCACAAAAAATTTCCCCTTCATCAAAGATCTTTTGATATATTTTTAAAAAACAACAGGGCCCCCCAAGATTTGCCCCCTGTGGAACGCCGCTTGTTCCCCGATCCCCCCCTCGGTTTTAACCCCCCTTTTAGGGACACTCGTTTCCCTTTGTCTTTTGACCCAAAGATTCGATCCACAAAAAGCACCCTTCCCCCAAGGGCCAAATAACCCTGCCACTTTTTTTAACAGTTTTTGGGTGCGGAACTCTATCAAAACCCCTTACTAAAATCTAATAAATAATATCAAATTTTTTAAATCGTGGTCAACAGCCTAAAAAGCTTTATTTAAAAAAGTTAATAAATTAGTTAAAAAACCCCCGGCCTCTTGTGAATCCATGCTGAGAAATCTTTAAATCAAGCTATCTTATCGAGATGGCTTCTTATAATCTGAGCTAAAATTTGACTCTAGAAATTTTGGGCCTACAATTGGGGGGTCAGGCTTATTGGGGGGGGTTTAAATTTTGACGGAAAACGCCCTTGTCCCCCTGTTTTAAAAATAGGAATTGCTTTGCCATTTTCCCCACAAAACAGACACTAAAACCCTGTTAAAGAGTTTAAATTTAAAAAATTTATTTAAAAGGGTTTCACAGATTTTCCAATTTTGCATTCCTTAAGAACCCTTGAAAAAACCTCATCGGGACCCGTGACTTTTTTTGCTTCAATCGGCTATCGCTTCAAAAACCATTTCACTAGTGACTGTAAATGTTACAAAAATTTTCTTCTTCGGGCCCACTATAAAAATTAATTACGTACGGAATATTTTTAGGTTTTTCCTGTGAAAAAAACCGAGAGAAAAAAAATTTTTAAAAATTCGACCCACATTTCTTTCCCTTTTTGGGGTCAGAAAAATCCCCAAAATTTAAATTTTTAAGGGGACCTGTCAAAATTCTCGACTTTTGTTCTATAAAACCTGGAAAAAACTTTTTTGGGTTATTTTTTTAAAATCCTAGCAACTTTAACTTCATAGCCCCTTTTTTGGGTTTTTTTCTTACCCCCTTTTTTAAATGTCCCTCTTTTAAAGAAAATAAAAACTGATTCATAAGATGCCCCTCCCCTCTTTTGAACGCCTATAAATTCCTTTCTTATGCCTAGTGATATTTCGCCTATTATTATCCATTTTGGGTATTTTTTTGATCTTTTTCTTTATACGGGGATAAACGTTTTTGACCCTCATGTATGTTTTCAAAAACTGCATTTTTGATAGCTTCTTTTTCCCCCCTAACAGATAAAAAAATGTTTCTAACCCATCAAATCTGCTAAGCAAAAACTGGGACTTTACTGGTTACCTACTATCATACTTCCTTCAATTGACTTGTGGTCGCTAGCCCAGTTCCTCTGAAATTCTAATTATTAAAAAGGGTTCATTTTTTGCCAAAAACTAAGTCAAGCAGGTTATTCCCCCTTGTAGGTTCGTCACAAACTGCTTAAAAAAACAACCCTGAACTACTTCTAAGAAGTCGTTTGTTCTAAATTCCAGTCAAAAAATTCAATCAATATGAAAAATTAAAAGTCTCCTAGAATTATACATTATGGGCCCTTTGTGGCCCTAAAAATTTTCCCCATAGTAGTCTCCCTGGTCCCTACCTAAGTTGGGGACGGTATATCACCCCAAAAATTTAAATTTTCAGACCCTCTAAAATTCTATCCAAACAGACTCTGTATGTTTACTTCAGATTTTTAAAAACCCTTTTTTTATGCAACAGTTCAAGCGATCTCGGACATACGGGCCCACCCCACCCCCCTTTCCCCGACATTCTTTTTCCTTGGAACAATTTAAAACCTGATGTGCATTCCGCAGGCATGTCCCGACTTTTTGAATTAAACCACTTTAAAGTTAAAGGGAAAAAAATCAATGTTACCTGCACAGCAACTAGTCTCAACTTCCCTCTTATTCCGGGCCCGCAAAATACAGTATTTGTGTATTATATTTAAAAACCTCCTCTCTCTTTACCCCCCCTGCTCCTTTTGTTATTCCATTAAAACCTATTACGTCCTTTTCATTGTCCACTGGCTTTCCAAAATCCCCCGTTTTTCCTTTTACTAGTTCTCCTACCCCCGAACTTCAGTTTTCCGCCAAAACCCAACCACTAAAATATTTCCCAGTTTAAAGCCTAACAGTCCCCCATGCGTTGGCCATGCTCCCCACCCCACACCTAGATAAGTGAACCCCATCCCTGGCATACATGTCATTTCTGCCATAGAAGAGGTCCCAGTTGTCAATGAATGTTACCGCATTTTCCTTACAGTATTTGTCCAGCCAGCAATTGACACCAGTTTCTCTGGACAACCATTCATTTCCAACTCCTCTCCTTGGCAAAATGCCACATATGACAGGTTTCCCACCCTTCCTCCTAATTATCTCTATTGCTGACCTATACCTGCTAATCAGGTCCTCACTCCTACGTCTGCCAACATCGTTGCCTCCAGCACTGAGACAGATAATAGGATTGCTCCCATTACCTCTCATGATGTCATGGTCAGAAATACTGCCAAGGTATTGTGACTGAGGGTTAAACAGTTTGTATCTTTTATTAGTGATATAATGAGAGGCTGAGAGAAATTTCATACAAGCAAACACAGCATATACGTATATGGTAGCGGTATTGTTCAGCATCTGGGCTCTTGCACTTTCCTTTCAGAAGCCCAATTTTCAGTGCATATGCTGTGACTTTTCATTGAAACTGGCTTACCATACTAAATTTGACTTTCCTTGATAGCTTACAATTTCACTTGTCACACTGCTCACCTTTTTTTCATAGCTCTCCTAAGCCTTGTAGCACTTTATGACTTGTAAAGGTTGGGTGCATATTGTGAATGTAATAGTAGCAATAATAATGTATAGTAGCCTCGTCTGACTGAGTCAGCTTTCTGATGTTGTCTGCCACAGGCCCAGCTATAGACAAGCTAGAGAGTTAATAGTAACCTTAATTGTTGGCTGTCTGATATAAGTACCTCAAGTCATTCTTGAGTTTTCCAATTTGGCTTGCGGAATACAGTATATCTTTAGGTGATGGCTATAATTGGGATTAGTTCCTGGGGTTATCTACTTTCTTAGGAAAGGGACTGAGATATGTAACTGATATTCTTCCTGTATGGCTTAGGGTTTGTAGCTGGGTGAAATATGGAAGCTCTTCTATTGGGAAATATGTAACTTTTGATGACTGTAATAATAAACATCATTAAAAAAAATTCTTTCATATTGTGTTATTAATGAACCTTCAGGAGAGGGGTGCCTTAATGCTGGTGAAGAGCTCGTGTTGCAAAGAATTGGTAATCAAATCAGATAACCTCCCATTTTCCAGATGCTATTTTGACTCATAGGTTTAACACTTTTCCATGAATATAATAATAATAATAACAGTATCATCTTTGGGAGCAAGGGGCTAGTGACCCCTTCTCCTGTATATATTAGTAAATTTAAAAGGAGAAATTTTCGTTTTTCCTTTGGGGCACGCTGCCTCGGTGGGATACAGCTGGTTTGTTGAAAGAATAATAATAATATCTTACATGTACAAGGTATACTGGCCTAGCTGACATCAATGACATACTACTATATAGAAAGCCACTTGTTATGCAGAGTATTTCAGGCAAATAGGTTGATTTTGTCCCAGGATGCGAACCACACTAGTCGATTAACACCTAGGTACAGCCTCTCCTCACTTAACGACAGAATTCCATTCCCAAGACCACGTCATTAAACAAATTCGTCGCTAAGTGAGGAGCATACCATAATGGTAGAAGGTTTGTGTCAACCATCTTTGATATTGTTATAATGTCACCTTTGCACCATTTATAACATCTGTGGTATGTTTTTAAATGTTTATACAGTAGTGTACTGTATATGAAATAAACAATAGAGGAAATCAGCTCTAATATACATTATTTAGGTATAAACACTGGTCAGAGAGCCTGTCGTAAGTCCGAGGCGTCGGTAAACAAGTACATTGCTAAGCGAGGAGAGGCTGTGCTCATTTTACTGATGGGTGAACAGGGACAGCAGGTGTCTTATGGAAACATGTCCTATGTTTTCCAGCCATACGGGCGATCGATCCCCGGATCTCAGTGTGTAAGCTGAGTGTGCTAGTGATTGAGCTATGGGACACCTAACTAATAATTTATAAGTGAGGGAGCTTCCAGATGAAACATTATTATAATCATAACTAAGCACTAAACCCACAAGGGTCATACAGTGCTGCATCCAGATCCGGATGAAACAAAGCATAAAAAATAGAATATATAGATAAGTGAAGTTTAGAGAAGGACCTGCTTAAAATTCTGAACATAATACTGTATGTTTTGTAACATTATGTTCATTCTTTTATCATTTTTCTTAATAATGTATGCATAGTATGGCACATCCTGCAGGTGCACTGGTTGGAAGTAGCTGCTTTTAGCCTGGCTG